CTAATCGATCCTACCAAACCATCACATTTGTCATCCCTTTTTTTTGTTCCTATAACAAGATAATTTCTCTCAGCGCACTGTGTAATGAAGCGTTAAATCGATATATGAAATTCAGAAACCGGTTCTACAGAAGCTCAAGGCAACAGGTGCGCGGAATTATACAGCCAGATGAATCCGTATCCTTTCTAGATATCTATAGAACCATAAATCCATCACCTACCTTCAATTTCGTGCATTTCTACTTTCACGGATGAAAAAGATCTGCAAATCCAAAATACGTACAAAATCACTAATCCATTAATCGAATATATGTCGAAGCCTTTGAAAGACCATCGATGAGATCAAAGATATATTTTCCATATAGATGTAAATGTGCACACTGTATTACATATCGTGTATTAAAAATTACTCTTGGAGCACTCCCAAGGAAATCTTCTCTTTCATATCTTTCTAAAAGTTTTCCTAAAAAGTTAAACAGCTAACAGAAAATATTTTACTCGTGGGAAGTTTTTACTTACCGAATTATCGCGAATTATCTTACTACCAATCTCAAAGAAACTGCTCTTCCAAAACAACAATAAGATTTTTATCTCAAATAATATTTTGTAAAAAACAGGGAAGCTCTCATGAAAATGGAAGCGACAGCTTTGGCGAGAATGGAACAGGTCAAAGAAGTGCTTGCCAGATTACGTTACTTCTTAGTCTCGAGTATATGCGCCAATGAAACATTTTACTTATTTTTTCAAGACTTCTTTCCTCCATTTTCTTTTATGTTCCTAAACAAACGTGCCAGTACCCATGATAATTTTGTCCTCATAAAACTTATTTTTTAATTCTTATAATCATATAAGTATTCCTTTATCATGTATTTTTGTTTCTCTTTTCTTGTGCAACTATTTATTCAAATAAATGCCTGTATAATGTCTACAATTTCTATTATTTTGATTATTTTAGTAATAAATTAATTAAGAAACTTATTTTAATATACAAAATAATAAAAATGTTTAATTGGCTCAAAACATGTAATAGAATTTTTTATAAATATACAACTTTAGCAAATTGAATTTAATAATAATTTTTTAAAAAATGTCAAAATCCCGATTGTCGACTTTTTTTAATAATTTTTGGAAATTCAAAGAAATATTTACATTATTATTATTTTTTAAAATAATGTATTCAATCGCCTTTGTCACAAATAATATCAAAAATAAATAATAATTTTAAGACATCCTTTTTAGTTCCAAGACATTCTATTATTTCAAGAAATTAATGTTTACGAATGTAACAGGTGGTCGAATTCGATTTATAATGAATCAACTTAAACCACAGAAAATGCAACAGTTTTGATTGAGACAAGGACAAACGTATATGAAAGATGTGGAGAATAATAAATGGATTCTATTATTCGGAAAGTTGCTTGAACACAGAAATAATGTCTTCATTCCACTTATATTCTCTCTCACTAAGATGTTTAGTTTCCGACAAAATAGAATCTACTTTACCAAGTTGAAAATTCAATTGGAAAGCTCGATTAATAATGTCAACCAAATGATAACACGACAACTGCACTTGACTCTCTCTCTTTTTTTCTCTCTCTCTTTCTCTCTCTCTCTCTCTCTCTCTCTCTCTCTCTCTCTCTCTCTCTCTCTCGCGCGTACGCTCGTAATATATATATGTAAAACATCGCAGTATTATAAAAAAATATTACAATAATTGTAAAAATTATATTGCATTTTAATTTATAATTACAAAGAATAAAATTATATACAAATGCATTTTTGCATGTTGATGTAATTTAACAAAATTTTGCTTTTAATTACATAATAAACGAAAAGTTATTAATGCAAATTGCTTGTATCAGGTTATAGTTTTGCAAACTGTTTGTATCAAGATAATTAGTAATACGACTTGATGTAGTATGAATTTCGGAGGATGGTTTATCTCTGTGAATTAGGACAATCTTGTTGCTGATGTACATTCGCTGACCTAAACTACCAACTTTGCCGGAAGGCATGTTCCTCTCTTAAACAGTAACTTTCCTGAAATGATTAACAAGCAAACGATTTGATTTGGGTGAGAAACAAAGGACTTTATATCACTTTAACGTAAATTCAGACTCTAACTTTGTTACTGCACTGCATTTCAATTCCGCTCCGAGGACAGAAAAATACAGAGAAATAGAAAGAAAGACAAGAAGAGAACAAGACAAAGAGCGGATAGAATTATACGAATACGATACGAAAAAACGATCGGATAGAATATCAAGAATGTATAGAATTCCGAAAATCTTTATACACACATGATGCTATAAATCTTGACACTAGTACATTTCGATGATAAATTCTTAATAGAATTGAAATCAATTTTTATAGAAAAATTAATAAGAAATTACATTTTAACATTTAGTTCTTAATACATAAATGAAGTTACTTTTGATTTCAGATTT